GCAGGCTATATCTGCATTACACAGTATTTTACATTGGAGAGAGATGGTCTTATGTCTAAGGCACTGAACTGGAGGTACTGAACTCAGGAAACCTCGGTTCAATTCCCAGTTCTGCCACACCCTTCTTGTGTGGCCTTATTAATCTTTCTGGCTGGGGGGGGTTAAGGAGGCACCTTACACGTTCCACTGCTCGGGCACTCGGTCCTCACCCCAACGGCCAATTGCCACATCTCTCTGCGGGGCTCTGCTCTGGCCCGCGCCACCAGCCTCCCTGCTGGCCACTTGCTGCGCCTCTCCACCCAGCTGGGCACTCACCAAGATGTCTTCAGGGCCCACCACTTAACACAGCTCTCAGTGATTTCAGCTGTTAGTGGGGGAGCCTCACTATTGGTGCACACTGGGCAATCTGTTGCAATAGAGACACTGTCCCAAAGTAGCTCTGTAGCATGTAATAAGACTCTCAATTGAATCTAAATTAGCTCTTTTATTATACCATGGAGAAAGAAAGGGTCAAATGGTGTCTAGAACCCTTAAACAGGGCCCACACCACCAAGTACCTGTACCCCACCCTCTCTCAACTCACTGGGCTTTGGAACCCATGTTCCCTGCCTAACAAGTGCCGTTCAGTTGAGGATGAGTCCCTCCATTGGGGTATGGCAGGTGCAGTTCTGTTGCCCTCGGTTCACACAACAAGGATAACAAAACTTTATTACTCCTGCCCCAATAACAATGAGACTGGGGATCCAACATTAGCCACAAGTGATCATTTGGGCAAGCAATGCCATCATGCTGAGCACCTAGGCAGGGTGGGTGTGTCCATGCAAATGAGATCAGTTCCTGAAGTCTTTTTCCACACCTCACAACTCACCACTAGATGTCAGGAGAGAGTTCATTCAGACTCTGCTTACATCCTCCTCCCAGCCGAGAATTTGTCGTCCCGACAAATCACACTCCATATTATACCAAATTCATTAGTTTCACCCAAAGGGCCTCAGGAAACCCACTATGGCTTCCACAAGCCTGTGAACTAAGTGTATTGGTTCTTCACTAGCCACCCCAGGTGCATCATGAGTTAACCGGCTTACTAGCCTTATAACCCTGTCTCATCTATAGCGAGTGGGCATTGCAGGAGCAGGGGGGGACATCTTCTTGGGCAAGGGATGGTGAGGGTTCTTTTGAGGATCCCTTGGCTACTGGCACAGGTCTTTGCATCTCTGATTCTAGTAGTGGAAGGTCCAAGGCATCCAGGACTCCTTCCACCTGTATGTCTCCACTGTCCAATAACCTAGATGTGTCATCGCAGGGCGGTCTCATTGGTGGCATGGGTGTGTCAGCAATGGGCCTAAATACTTCCGCCATGGGGTTTAGGGCTGAAGAAGTGGCGCTCTCCCTCGGTTCAGCTGATCGAGACCAAAATCTCGTCTCCATTCTAGGATACACTATGGTAGTGTTTTCCTCCTCAGACTCACTCTCAAGTGTACTGAGTAGGGATAGGTTAGCCACAGGGGGCCCGCAGTCCATGTTGGATGATGGTCTAGCATGTTTGTTCTGCCCAGTTGCCATGTTGTGATCCACTTCGTAAGGGTCGCCTACCAACTACCCCACAGCGAGTAAAAGGTTTCTATGTACTGTCTTTATTTGTCCTGGCCCCACTTCAGATTTAATCTTGTAGACCGGCAGATCTCCCAGTTTTTCCACCACCAGGTAAGGTATTGCCTTCCATCTGTCGGCTACCTTGTGTTTGCCAGCAACACCCAAATTTGGCAGCAGAACTCTATCCCCTGGCTGGAGCTCCTGCAAACACACCCTAGCAGCATACCAATGCTTGTTATGGTCTGAGTTTTTCTGAGCTGCAGACGTAGCTAAGCAATAAGCATCCCACAGCTTTTCTCTTAGTTGGGATACATATCGCTGATGAGTCTCATAGCTGTCTACATCCTGATATGCCAAAGCACAAGTCTATGGGTAATCTTGGTTCTCGCCCAAAATCAAGAGATATGGGGTGACTCCTGTAGCATCATTCTTTGTGGCGCTGTAGGCATGCATCAAAAACGCAACATGCTGGCTCTAGGTTGCCTTCTGCTGTGGCCGTAAAGTCCCCAACATATCTAACAGACTTCGATTAAACCTCTCTGGCTGAGGATGACCTTGCGGATGATAAGGCATTGTCTTAGACTTTTTAATTCCTGTTATCCTCAGCACCTCCTTCCGAAGGTGACTCTCAAAGTCCTGCCCTTGGTCGGAGTATGTCTCACATTTCCTATGAACATCTTCCGCCATCCGGGGCCAATAGAACCTACTACAAATAAGTTCCAGAGTTTTCTCCATTCCTAAATGTCCAAAGTCGTCATGCAGTGCCCTCATGGCCAGGGCTCTGTACTCTTTTGGTAGCACTAGTTGTGTTCATTGTTGTTCTAAAGGGCCAGTGGTAATTCGATGCAGCACTCCCTGAATCAGTTTGTTTGTTCCATTCTCTCAATAGTAGTTTACCCTTAGGGTTAAGTGGATAATCGCAGTGGGACTTTGCCCCTCCCTTTTGGCAAGTAGTGTATCACAAATTTCAATATCTTGCAGCTGGGCTTCTTGCCAGTCAGCTGCATTGAGCATGGTCAACGGAGATTGGTCCAACACAATATAATTCACTGAGGCAGATGGCATGCTTTCAGGGGGCAGACCTAGAGCTTCTGCAACACACCCATGAAGTCTCATGGGCCTCTGGCTCTCGATGACTCACATGGCTCTCCTTCAGCTGACTGCTCTACCATCACTAATGCCCCTTTCACATCCCACCGTGGTCCAAATGGTTCTAAGGGGCCATAATGTCTCTGCGTGGGAGCCTTTGGGGACCTCCCCTTATTTTTGTTTTTGCTGGATTTGTTCTTAGATTTGTTCTTGCTGGACTGGTACCCCCGGGTAAGATCATTCAGGGGTTTTACAATGGTAGCATAGTTCTTTACAAATCTGCGATAGCAGCCACTAAATCTAAGAAAGGTCTTGAGTTCTCTGTAATTACTTGGATGTGACCATGTAGTGAGGGCATCTATTTTGTCAGGATCAGTACTCACGTACTCTTGAGACACAATGTGACCCATGTACTTCATTGAGGTTCAGCGGAACTGGCATCTGTCAATTGAAAGCTTCAACCCATAGCTTCCAACCGATCTAGAACTTTAAGAAGTCTTTCTTCATGCTCCTCCAAGGTTCTTCCAAATACAATCAGGTCATCCAAATAAACTAACACTTGCAGTAAATTCATGTCTCCCACAACTTTCTTCATAAGACGCTAAAACTTAGCAGGTACTCCAGAAATCCTGATTGGTAGCAGTCTGGAGTAGCCAGCTTCCACAGTGCAATTGCCACATGCTTCTCCAATGACAGGGCAGCTCTCATTCTTGTGTCGTGTCCTTGCGCCACAGTGCTGGGGCGAGCTCATCACACAGTCCCATGAATGTGGCTTTCCTCATGTGAAAGTTCTGCAGCCACTGCTCGTCATCCCAGACATGCATGACGATATGATCCCACCACTCAGTGCTTGTTTCCCGAGCCCAAAAGCAGCATTCCACTGTGGTCAGCACCTTCGTGAATGTCACAAGCAATCTTGTGTTGTAGCTACTACACATTGTGAAATCAATGTTGAACTCCTCTTGCCTTTGTAGTTTAAGGAGTAACTCCACTGCCACTCGTGACATGTTAATAAGAGCAAGCAGCATATTGGACAACAGTCATCCATTCCTTTAGACCGAAGAGGCAGAGCACACAGTACACAAACCATTGAAAGATGGCACCAAATGCGGATGGAAGCACAGGGATTGCTGGGATGCGAAGCAATGCATCACGGGGCATTGGGACAGGACCCAGGATGCCCCACGACCCCCTCCACCTTCCCACAACTCTTAGCGGCAGAAGAGGAAGAGATGTTCTGTGGGATAGCTGCCCAGAGTGCACCGCTCCGAATACCGATGCAAGTGCCACAAGTGTGAACAGGCTATTGCGCGGGCAGCTGACAGTGTGAACACACAACAGCAGTTTCCCCTCAATGCTCTCTGAGCAGCGCTGTAACTGCCGGTGCTGTAACTCTGCCAGTGTAGACATACCCTATATGTATGTGCCTAGCACAACAGGACCCCAATCTTGGTTTGGGCCTCCAAGCACTACTGTAATACAAATAATAGTAATACCATTCAGATATTAGGCCCAGGAAGAGACGTGTAGGGAACTTGCAAAACCAAAAAACAGTCCTCTGAGCATACCACAAAATAATGCTTTCATAAATCTTAATTATAATGTGGATATTTGGCATTCAGTATTATCCACTTCAGAGACAAATATGACTCAGTATTAAATTACTACAGTCTGTGCTGATGTACGAATAACCCTGACACTATCTCTTTTGAGCCATTTTTGTTAGCGTAATTGCATTAGTAATAGCCGATTACACAGCAATCTTATGTTCCCACAAAATTAAGATAATTACTGTAACTGGAAACACATCCCCCGTATTCCATCCTAACAAGGAAACTGGTTAGAGGCAATGTAATGTTTCAGTGTCTA